GGAGCACAGTTTAACGAGGACCAATACCGCACACCCTCGGTCCCTACGCAGACTGATCCAAGTGGGTCACCCACCCGCACACTGACCGCAGCCAGTGATGCTTGACTTCGGTGATCTGCTGGGAACCGTGTCTTAACGATCAGTCCACTGCGGGACACCACCATATAGAGAGCGCTGCTCAGCATACGCATGCGTTACGGGTCTGAAATTCTAATCATTTGCATATCATGCTCTACTTTGCATTTCCTGAAAATTTCAGCTCACTCACGTAAGTCCTTCATGGTGTTGCAATTTTCACAAACATGAGTTTAGAAATTGAAGGAAAATGCAAATAAATAACAGATATAGATAATAAAAAATGTGTGTACCGTAGGATTTTCATCAAAAAATTCTGAACGGATAACAAATTTTGTCCCTTTTCGACTTGACGTTAACCAGGTTTGACTGCATTACCACAGCAGCTTCAAGAAGTTTAAGGCACAATTTCATGAATGTTGGCAGTTATCATTGTGAACAGAGCACCTTTACTTCTCAGCCTTGCTAGTACCTATTTTATATCCGTTGTTGAACAGCCGACCCATTTTTTTTTGGTTTATGACTACTACTGCAGCATTGTAATTTTGAACTCAATCCAGAAGACAAGGGAACTCCTGGATCAAATTTGCCTTCGTGGAGGACTTTTTGATGGAACTAACCCGCATTTGCGTTACATGGAGAGGAAAACATTCTATGGTTAGCCAGACAGCAATGGGACTCCGCCCTATGATCCATCTACCACCCAGGATATTTTTTGTCATCACTGTGGTCGGTACAAGTCGGACGCAGTATTCGTATTGAACAGCAGAAGGGATAAGAAACTGGTTCACCTCATTGGAAGGCAAAATGTTCTTAATTTAAGTGATAAGCTGATTTTCAATATACAATCTGAACAAATTCTTTTCCCTCAGTTTATTGTACACAATGATGGTTTAAAATTTAGTTAATAACACATTTTAAGTGAAATAGGTAATTTAATAATGATGACAAACATTAGGAAATTTAATACATTTTTATAATTAAAAAAGATGACTAAATTTCTCTTAATTTATATTTATAATTTTTTTTATTTATTTATTGTTTGACAGTGATGACAAACTTAATAACTATTTATTATAATACATTTTCAAAACTAAATACAAAACACAATTTTTTTCTCTTAATTTTGATGAATGTTTTTTAATTAAACTTTCTAATCTGTTTCTTGACTTCATGTTTACCTACAAATATAAAATCCAATTACTTATTTAACTATTAAACATATAACATTTTTGACTACGGATTCAAATAATTTATTAATAAATGCCACATATTTTATTTTGATAGATGTTTTCTTTGTGGAATTTAACAATTTTTAAGCATCATATTTTAAATAAAAGCTGTTTTATTTATTTATTCGATATTTTTTAATCTAACATACAGATAAAATTGATTACTTTTTAAAAAAATTAATAATATGTTTGAATTTTTAGAGAAAATAATTGCATGTAACAGAATTTAATAACCTAGAAAAAAAATTTTCTTCTCATTTTAAATTGCCAATAAAAACTTTTTTTATGGAAATATTTGGACTAATTCCTTTTTGATATTTTACAGGAAATGAATAAAAAATTTTGTTTTCTTTTAAATTTGATGAATCTTTAATTAAACAATCAAAGAAAGACCACATTGCAAACAAATCAATTGTGTAACACGTTTTTAATAATCTAACAGAAAAATTTCTACTTAATTAAATGAATGCTTTCATAGTATCTTAAAAGGGAAAATTTTTTTCTTTTTACACCAGTGAGATTTTACAGCTGCCTCTATTATCTCCGTACACCAACCCTCCTTTGTTGTTTCTCATTTAACATAGTTTTTTTTCTCTCCTTAAAAGTTGATAAAAAGATAATTTTGTTTATAAAATTGATAATTTTTGTAATTCTATAATGGCAAATTTTAGCGAACAAAATGAACAGATACCTATATTTAAAAAATAATCAAATTTTCTTGAAAAAAAGTTTTTTTTTTTATTTCTAAGAGTTCAGAATGTGCAAAACAATAAGTAATTTAATTGTTGACACTATCTAACTATCAAATTACATTACATAACAGAATAAATTTGAAACAACTTTTATCTCTCTTCAGCCTTTTTATGCTTTTTAGAAATTTAAACATAAATATTAAAATAACATTCTTATTTTTATACATATATTTTTAAGACAGATCAAGTCATACAAAGTTGTCTATTGCTGGAACCAGTCTGTTTTGTGCTCTAAGACTTTATCACTCATTTAATGGAGATTAACCTGCACCGATGTTATTTTAAAATTGTGCAGCTGTTTCTTTTTTGAATAATCTAGGAAAAACAATAAAAATCTCAAAAAAATCAAATTTATTTTGAATACTAAGTATTACAAAGGTGACATTGATTAAATTTAACCACAGGTTTTAAGCTAGAATAATATTCTTTACAAAGGAAAAAAAAATGAAGGAATTAGGCATATATAAACGTTATAAGTAAAACAGAACATAATAACTATGAAAAATTTTAAAAATCAAAACCCAAAAAATGGCTATATTCTAACACCAAAATATGAACTTGAAGGGAATTTCCAAATACGAAAGAAGTCCAATCAAAATGAACTGCCAAAATAAGTCATCAACAGGGTTGGATTTAAAATGTTAAACAAAAAAGTATCTTGTAAAAAAAAAAAAAGAGAAAACTTTTATATCAAAATTGGATAATGAAATATAGAAAGGGAATATATTGATAAACAAATCATGGAGTAGTATATATCTCGTAAGAAAAAATGCAACCATTTTATCAATTTGATAAAGCTTATCTTTTTTGAATGTCTACATTCCAATTAATTTTTGATACTTCTGTGATTGAAACTATTAATTAATACTATAAACTATTGGACAAAACTGTTAAAAAATAGTTTAGAACCCAAGAATGTTTGAAATATCCGAAAGCTAAAAAGAAAATCCCTATTAAGATGTAAGAGCAGAAAATATAACTTAGCAATACAGATAAATTCAAAAACAGGAAGTATGTAAAGGTGGTGTAATATTGTTAACATCAAAAAGTACTAGACAACTTCAGGTTTCACTTGTATGAAAAATACATTGTAACCTTAATCATATTTTTGGGGTATTTTCAAGAACTTACTTTTGCTAAATCGTTTTAATTTTGTCTTAATCATTAGTTTCTTTCTAAAACCATTAGTTCAAAGTTAAAATAATTTAAATGTGAATTAATTCATCCCATATTTAAATGAATGAATATTTATCCATAATCCGAAAAATGTAATTTTACTTTCAGTGATAAAAAAAATAGTACAAAAAATTTACATAATTGTACTTTGCAATAGGAAGATTTTACAGAAGTTAACAATTAATTACAACTTATATTAAATGTTTGAAGTTTTCAAAAATAAATTTTATAGAAAAAAAAAACATATTAAAAATCATACTTACCATGATGAAATTAATAACTTCCTCTTTATGAATGGGTATTTTATCTTAGGATAGTAATTTACATAATTTTTAAAGCTAAGTACTGGGAACTATTTTTATTTATAAAATTAATCTCTATAACATCAAAGAGATTTTTCCAAAAGTGAGTGATTTCACAGACCATTTGTCCAAAACAGAATATTGATTTATTTTTATTCACTCTCTTCAGCTAATGAACATAGAAAACTGCATTTCAACCTGTTTCCTTTTCTTATAGTAGAACCAATCTGCTCTTTAAGAACTTGTATTTAACACACTGTATTTGACTGGGAAATGTTATCTAGTTTAAAATAATGTAAAATAAATGTCACTGTAAAAAAATTTTACGAACTAAAATTTACTGAAATATTTAAATAGTGGCAATCTAAATGAGTACGAAAACAGCAAACAATTGCTAATATACAAACACTAATTCTTTTTGAGAAATTCTTCATCAAAAATGGAAAAGGGCAAAATCTTACAGCAGATTAGAGTACTTTGTAAAATCTGAATTCTTATAAACTAAGATTCCAAAAGCTGGTACTTTATAGAATATTCATAACATGCACCATAAGAAAATAATTCCTCCAGGTCCGTAGAACCAAAATCTACTATTGGAAATCGAGACTAAATAATAATATAAAAAACTGATACTATATTATTCATATTTATGATTAGCCAAAATGGCAAATTTTAATTAAGTCTAAAAATTTATTGGTAGAGTTAAGTAGTTTTATTATAAATATGGTTAGCTTTTAATCTCTAATTCTGCTTAAAGAAAGGATCTCAGGAAAAAAAAAAGAACTAATTGGGAAAAAAAAAATCAAATTAACAAAAGACGAACAATGAAGGAACAAATAAATCACGAGCAGCTCACAAAATTGTCCGTAAAAAAAACTGAGTTTGGCCGCAAGGATTTGTGACCTAATCATATTAAGTCCCAACACAAAGTTACTATTCCAAACTTTGAGGTATTCCCCCCCCCTTTTTTTTTTGAAGACCTGGCAAAAAAGCAATGATTAAGAAAAGAAGACAATTATGGTAGATCATGAAAGGACAAAATCTACACCATAGATCTTTCAACAACTAAATGGCAAATGTCTATTAAAGCCTACATAATTGGTGGTAAAAAATTCCTTTATGTTAAAAAGAACACAATCAATAAAAGAACTATTAACACCACAATAACTCTCCATACAGAATTTTGATGAGATTTTTTTTTAAATGTACTAAACACCTGATGCATCGCACAATGGCGGATTCTGGAATAAGACTAAAAATGAAATATGTTCAGCGTAAGCAATCTCTAGCTGTGTTTTTTTTTTTGCAGTGGCAGTGATGTTATTTAAAATAAATGATCTACTTGTGATATAATACCTTAGGCTAATACTTAAAATACAAACTTTAAAATTTATAAATAATTGAAAATTTTTTTAAAGTATAAGAATTATTTCAAGAAGCGATTTTTCGAGAAAAAGGGGCTCACAACTAATTTTTATTTTAACAAATTACAAATGTTTCGGGATAACGCAAAAAAGAAGCAATACCTATAAAACCGCATTAACGTTGAATCCTGTCATTGTCATAGCAATAATTTCATTAATGAATGAAAAACTTGCAAATGAAAGATCCAGAAACAAGTCATGTCCAGTTCGCAGTAAATTTTACATTGTCTTGTAAGTTGAAATGGAAAACTTACAAGATAAGAAAATCTAGCTTTTCCAAGCTTAATATCAATTTTTAAAATACTAAATGGAAATAGAATCACACCTTCACTAAGTTTGGCAACTAAAGGAAAGATAGGCAGAAAAAAAAATTGTTCAAAACCTGATAATGTAAAATATAAAGAAAACAAGAATAAATGTGAATGAAAATAACATTGAAGAAATTAAAAAACTAGATTAAAGAAGAAATGGGAATACTTGTGACCAAATCAAAAACTTACCAAATTCATTTTAGAAGTTGGATTAAAGTATCATGAAATGACAAATCATCTACACACAAACTTGAAATGAATGTTCCCAATTCATATTAAAAGTCCATCAGAAATTTTGCATCAAGTTGAATTCCACAACTAAGTCCAGGAGACGAAAACAACAATTTTACAAAACTTTTACATCCTAATAACTTGAAGCAACAGTAAATCAATCCAGCCAAACAAAATAAAACTTTTTCGTCCATATAACATGTAGTAAACACAAAGAATATACTGAAAAACATTAAAATTTACAGGCTTTTAAATGACAAAATAATAAACATTATAAGATATTGAAAATTTTACACACAATTTGTTTTAGAAGTTAGATCAAAGTATCATGCAACTGATAAATCATCTACACATAAACTTGAAATGAATGTTTCCAGCAAGTTTTAAAGGTCCATTAGAAAATTAGCATATAGTTGAATCCCATAACTAAGTTCTGGAGATGATACCAATAATTTTACAAAACTTACATCCTAATAACTTTAAGCAAACAGTAAATCAGTCCAGCCAAAGAAAATAAAACTTTTCCTTCAATATAACATGTAGTAATCATAAAGAATACACTGAAAAACATTAAATTCACAGGCTATTAAATCTACACACATAAACTTGAAATAAATGTTTTCAGTTCATTTTAAAGTTCCATTAGAGTTGATGTTCGAATAGATGATGCCGTTGTCTAAATTTCCTAGAGATGATGCCAACAATTTTACATAACTCTTGAAGCAACAGTAAATTAATCCAATCAAACAAAACAGAACTTTATCTTCTATATAATGTGTAGTGAACATAAAGAATTATACAGAAAAAAACTTAAAATTTACAGGCTATTAAATGAAGAAATAATAAACATTATCAATTATTAAATATGTTACAATTTTTTTTATTTTTTATCTCCATCAAATATTAAATGAAGTAAAAATCAGTAACAAAGTTCTGCGACACATCATTTACTAGATATTTTGCTTACTAAATAAAACGAATGATGCAATGTAACAATCAAAATCATTGTACAAAACAAGAAAACTAAGCACAAAATATTTCATAGGTATAATTGTTTTAAAAATAAAGATGACCACCCACTTTTAGAATGCTAAGGAAACACTTAAGTTTGCTAAATAACAGTTTCTTTTTAATAAAATCTTCTGCCACGACCTCTGTAATAATTAGATCCGCCCCTCTGAGCCCGAGAGAAAGAGTTTAGGTTTGTGCTGTATTTTCCGCTAGGTGGGTGATACAACTCTCGTCCAGCTTTGCCGTCACGCTTTATTTGCTTCCTATCGTCAGTACTTTCACCCTCGGATGGCCGCTTAACACTCGGAGAAACTATTGAAGTCCTCGTAGAAGTAGAAGAAACTGGCTTCCAAGAGAGAGTCATAACAGTTTTGAAAGAAGGTGGAGTACGAAATAGATCTTTGATCAAAGAGTTAATATTGTTCATGGTCCGCAGTGCAATGGCTTTTAATTTAGTTTCCTCAGGTTTAGCTTCTTTACCTTTAACTGTGACCAAGGCTTCTCGGAAAGTCTTGACGCCACTCTGAACGCTGCGTGCTAAAAACTGAAGGCGGGTCTTGAGATCACGGGACCGTTGAACGTTGTCGGCTCCAGCTAGAAAATCTGGAACGTGCTTCAATAAATGTAGAAAGATATAGAGCCAGCATTCTATGTGAGTGAATTGCAAGTTCGGCTCGTCGGGTTGAGTGCCATTTTCGGCATCGGCGGGTGGGGGCAATGGAACATATTCGATTACTATTTTATAAACAGCATCTATACACTCACTCAATTGCTTATCTTCGTGAACAAAAGTGGAAATTTCTGCTAAAAGCTTTATGATGTCGAGGCTCAACTCTGCCCCGTTGTCTAAAAGCTCAATTTCTCCGAGCTTAGGTATCACAGACAAGCAAATGTAGGAAACAAATTGGGTAGAGTGCACGAATGGTGAGAAATACGGAAGAGCCAAGCGGACACACTGTAAAAAACCTGCTATGTAATCTAGAGATACCTGAATTTCACCATCCATTTCTGCTTGATCAGCAATTAAATTGACGAGAGCTTGTTGAACTGGAACTGACTTAGCAATTTTCAGATTGGCCAAAAGAGGCATAAGATTTAAGAAATCCTCACCACCCAGTTCCGGGAACACTTTCTTGCACTTTTCGAGAACAAAATCTTCAACATCTTTTGTCGCTATATCCGGAGGGATAAATTTGAACTTAGTACACAAAAATTGAATAGCTCGTTTCCGAATAACATCCTCATCTGTGCTTCCAATTTGGCCAAAAATACCATCTAGAGTGGCTTTAGGATCAACCTTCATGATGGTCATCAATGTGTTTTGAACAGTTGCTAATTCGGCTGAATCTTCCGTCTGCAACATTTGCGCTAATATATCCGAAATTTTTGCGACACATGCTTTCGATTCCTTACAAAAGGCAGGTAAATGTTTAACAGCATGCTTACGAATGGAAACATCTTCATCCTCTACTAAATCTAGCTGAGCGTCCAGAGCAGCTGAAGCTAGATCCGGAAATTCTTTAAGAAATCGAGGAATGAATTGGCAGGCAAGCATTTTTTCATTTGTTTTCCCTTTAACCGATTCAATTATTTCTAAATATTCGGCCTCATGTTCTGATGGTTTGTTTTTAGAATCAGCTAAAATATCATAGTTTTGATACAACTTATCTATTTTATCCATGATGATAATAGATAAAAGCACGCCAATAACAAGGTGCGTCGAAAAACGATGTAAATATTATAAGTAAATGAAATTAATTGTTATATGAGAGTAATACAAGTGAAGATGATTGTGTGGAAGATATAATGATCTTTCAATGAACGAGTTTAATAAAACATCAAAGGAATACCTAATCTGTAGTGGCTGGCTTTAATAAATTTTTAAGAACAGTCGAAGTTACAGTTAAGATTTGCGAACTTTTCAACAACGAAGGGCCATTCTCGCTATGCGTCCCTCGCATGGATAGTTGAAAACTTGTACTAAGTACAGATGGCGCTAGGGGTTAAAATTCATCGAAAGACTTCCAGGCTACTACTACCGATTGATTTTTACGCCTAAGCTTGAAAAAGCATGCCATCCAATATTATTATATTGTAATGTTTACAATATAGTGCGTTTTTTAAATTTAAATTTCACTAAACAAACAACAAATGATTTCAGAAGATTCCGCAAGGAAGCTATGAAGAAACCCAAAATTTTATAAACAGTGACATTTTACAAAAATATAGCCTAATATGGGATAACACCAAAAACATGGCAAAACCTTACACTTCATTCATGTTTTAAATATCAAAATACATCTATACTTCTTACAAAAATCTGTCAACATTATGCACATTAAGAAATCGAGACAAACCGAGAGGAAACCTGAAACGCGAAAGAGTAGCAGAAGAATTTTAAAACTGTAGTTTATAAATATATCGGCATCGATTGCAATTTTTCTCTCTTTTCCAATGAGTTTCGCATTGATTTTACAGTCACCCTTTCAAAATTGTATAAAAAGCACTAAATTTTTAAATTTTTCTGAAAATTGATTCGATATTTTATATATATATATAAGCTTGAAAAATAATGATTTTCTTACTGCTATGTATCCAGGGCCGGATTTAAGCTTGGTGGGGCCCTAAGCTACAGAAAATGATGGGGCCCTTATAAGTTCCATTCCATTTCTATACACCTAAAGTAAACTGTCACTATTTTTTATTGTTGAGTATTAACATTATATTATTTAAAAAATTGATAATATTACTTTATTGTTAAATACATTAATTGTGATTAGACTATTTTGTAGAACCTTTCTTTTATTGCACATATTTTTTGAACAAGGGGAAAAAGTTACAAAAGAAACACACTTTAAGCACAGAGTAAAAATTTCGCGTGCTGAGCCACTATATATTTAACAGAGTTTTTTTTTTTAGATTCATTCTGAATATATTTTATTTGCAATTTTTAATGATTTTTTTCGCGAATTTTTTTCTCAATTGTTCTTTCTTTACGTTACAAAATCTATAAGACATATAAACATGAAATTTTGAATGTGCGTAGAAAATATGCAAAGAGTTAGAAAGAAAACTAGAAAATACAATTTGATTATTAGTTTTATTTTCTTTATAACCGCCGTTGAACAGCCGACTCAATTTTGAGTTTACGCCCTATCAACCAGGCTATCCCGGCTAAATTTATTAGTTTATTTTATAACAGTCATTGCACAGGCAGACCCAATTTCGAGTTTAAGAGTGCTAATATTCAACTCCGTAGCCTTGTCATTTTGAACCCAATCCATAAGACAAGGGAACTGCTAGATTAGTACCCAGAGGTATTTATTTGTTATGAGAACTTGGAGGACTTTGTGAGCCCGACAGGTTTAACAAGCACCAGTCACCATTTTATACATGGGTATTCTTCTGCCGGCTGGATTCAAACTCCCATTCTCACGAACACGAGTCCAACAACCTATCAACTAGGCTATCACGGCCAAATTTATTAGTTTATTTTATAACAGTCATTGCACAGCCGACCCAGTTTCGAGTTTACGACTACTAATATTCAACTCCGTAGCCTTGTCATTTGGAACCCAATCCAGCAGTCCCTGGAGCAGGGGAGGGCTGTTATATTAATACTGTTTGTAAAAATAGAAAGAACATTTCGTAAGCTGATATTATTTAATTGATGTTTATATTGAAAATATTTCTTCATTATTTTTGCTTTCTTTTTAATTATTTTAAGTACATTTGTTAAAATTTAGTGCGAGAAAAAAAATTGTCATTTAAATTTTTGGCTTATATTTTTAAGGATTTATTAAAGGGTCTATTAAATATCAGAGAGAATAAATGTCATACGGGCTTAAAGTATCAGCTCAGCTCTTGATGGTGTATAGTGGTTAGGATGTGAAAGAGCAACTGTCCCGGGCATCCAGCCAAAACGAGCATTCAACATATCAATGGAACACACTAAAGCTTTATATCAATTAGTAATTAGTTTTAGATAATTACAATTGTAGAATAATTATCTTATTATAGAATGAAATGTTTTAAAAGACAAATAT